ATACCTGTTGCTGATGACGGCAGCGATGGTGAAAATCGTCGCTCACGCTTGCCCTGGGCCGTGCTTCGTGGAGAAAAGTGAGCAGTCTAGTTTGGTTTATTGACGTAAAAGTCTTACTATCGATCTCCTTGTTCACCCTTTTCATTTTCCATATATCGTTTATACTTTGGATGAAAAATTTTTGTAGGAGCCACCATCGGCACACATACCACACCTTTCCATGCTCTTTGACTCATTTTTAAACTACCAGATTTGCTTATTGATATATCACGTTGAACGGAGCGAAAGTGTATGCTAGTGAAAGTCTTATTGAGAAACGTCCTCAAGACCGCTATATCCGCACTCTCTGAGTTAGTATTTTAGATCGAAAGAAAAAATTGAGCCATCAGCTATAATGGAGAAGTTTGAATTAGCTTTGGAGAATTATTCGAAGTTTTCTTTTGCTGCAATGATCGAATATGATTGCATGATGAAAGCTGTTTCACTGTTTCGATACCAGCGAATGTATGTTGAGATGGAGGTATGTGATGTCGACTGATTTTGCTCCCTTATACCTGCAGCTCTCTTCTTTCACCTCGATACGCGTAGGCTTTTGCAGAGTTTTCATCGTGATCATATTGGCAAATACTTGGATGATAGCTTCAAAAGGTTTGATAACCATACAAAAGCTGCTATATGTGCGAATTCGACAATTCTATACAGGGAGGCATGTTTATTTTCTAATTTCTCGTGGTTGTTCTACCCATTTGTTTTGGGTTTTTGCCGGCTTTTATGAATCGAGTCACATATTCGTTTTCAGGTTGGTTTCCGACGCAAGTGTTCGTTCTTTGCTCGGCTTGGTGTTTTGTTTCGTTTGCAAATTGGTGAAGGCGAACAGAGAACTCCACAAGATTACCGAGTTGTCTACCCCGTTCTATACAGGTAATTGCTAGTCTTTGGGTTTATTTCACGTATTTTTGAGAGCTTTAATCGTGAAAGCGGATGCTGCGGTAAACGCAGTTTAGGCAGAAACTCTTTGTAACTTTCAACTAGTTTATCCTAGCTGTTCAGGACTCTTCCTGGTTATGGAATCAAAGAAAATGTGCGCGAAGTGCCACAAGATGATGTGCTCAAAGGACCGGTGCAGCTGCAAATCAAGGCTTTGCACGAAGTTTATACTGCCGCATCGCGAGCGGAGCTTTATGAAGCGGCAATCAGGCATCTCTGTCACCTGATCCAGGTCTGCTCGACTAGTTTCTCGGAGTTGCTGTTCTATATTATTCTGTACAGGTGTACTATGATGATATGGACCCACAGTTGGCAAATCGTCTCTTTGACGATCTTCAAAATCTGGTGCGAATCAAAGGTAGCCCACCTCAACTTAATCAGCGCATTTCGGTTCCGGTTGGTAACATAATACTTCCTTCCATTCAGTTGACAAGGTTTCCTGAGGTCAGGTGAGCTTATACACACTCCGATGTCTATTTTCTATCCGAATTTTTGTTTTAGTGATCCAATTTTGTGCCCCTTGCCGCCGCATTTAGCTCCAAATGTGCTTTACCCGAAGTCTGGACAGCCACAGTTGTTCATTTACTCGCCCTTCCAACAAAAGAAATTATCAACAGGTACACATTCTTGTTTTCTTGGCATGTTCTTGTTTTTTTTGCACTAGTCACCGTTTTAGAAATATTTTGGGTGGTGGACTGCGCTTGTGAAGTATCCATTCTTGTTTATAATTGTCGACCATATGAACTTGTTGTTAGGTAAGTGATACCCTCTTCATGGCTTTATTCCATTTTCGGGTGGAGCAACGAATCTCCGCCAAGCGCCGCTTTGCGGATCACTAAATCTTTTGCGCATGCGTTTACCGTAAGACCAGTAGTCCTCGAAGTCGGCGCTTGTTGGCGGTCCTCTGTTCCAATTTTGTCAGTAAGTCTCTTATATTCATTATACTTTAGGGAACTGTGCTTGCTTGCTGATGGTTGTGTCTTTGAATCGGTACCGGTACGGTTAATCTTACCAGCGGCGAATGAAGGTGCTGCCCCAGCTAGGATCAAGCTCATTGGTGTACCGAGGTACCGTACATCTCTACTATGAAGCTAAGAATTCATGTTAGACAGTCCATACGGACTTTTAGGACGCCTGGCCTTCTTACCATAACGGGTTATTGCTGTGAAGTGTTTGGTGTGAAAAATGTTTGTAAACTTTATGGGCCAAAAGGACCTCTTAAGGTTGGTGACTTCAGTTATTATTGCAAGCCACTCATTTTTTTGCAGGTCGAAGTGCTTCCATCGCTTGCTGTCATGCAACTAGTGTCGTCATTGCCAAGAGCTCCTATCGAAGAGGATCAAAATGATCATAATGCTGAAATCACCGTTTATTCTGGACAACTGTAAGCTTTTATTTCAACAGAGTCACATTTGGAAAAAAAAAGAATTTAGGTTTGAGCATTCTCTTAGCGTCAAAAATACTAGTGCTAACATTGGAATTCGAAAAGTACGCTTGCAAGTATGGCAGCCTAAGGTATCCTTGTATTACCATGTTATCTGGAAACCAGTGGCGTACCCAGAAATTTTTTCG